ATTTTCTTAAATTTTTAATACTTACTTTAAAAAAGCTATTTATTGCTAGTAACATTTTCAAGAAATGATACACTTCCTGTATTGTTACAACTTTTATTGGCGGAATAATACATTTTCTGAAAAGAATTATGGGACGCCGGTCGCTGCGCAAGTATCACAAAAAATTCCAAAAAATAAAAAAATTATTAACACAGAGGCGAAGCAGAGAGCTTGCGCATCACTTGCGATACAACACAAACATAAAAAACATTAGAAGTACAAGAAATCAAAAAATGCTAAAAAAACGGTCTTCTGAAATGTTCATTTGTCTCGATAAAATTTCAATCTAGGCAAACATGCCAAGCAAAACATTTGAATTTGAAATTAGTAACGGAATAAAACTGACGAAGCGGAAACAAAGCCGACAACTTTTGAGCAGACACCAGTTGAGCCGGAAAAAAAAATATTTTTTTTTTGAAAAGTTTCAAGTCTATTGCAAACGTTATGAACAACCTTCGCAACTATAATGAATAGAGCCAACTGACAGTTGGAAAAGAGAGAAACGCAAAAAAAAGAGATAAACGTAATTTGAAAAAAGATCAAACTTCGAAATCAAAAATAGATGGAATTAAACCTCTTTGGTTTTCTCGAATAATATATAATTAAAACTTTTTGATGAAAATAACCCAATTTGAGAAAATTGGATCATTGGGTAAAGTTTTTATTCCGCTGGAAAATTTGATAATTGAATTCCGTTTTCAAAATTAGAAGTCGATCACATTTTTCGTGATTTTTACATTCGAGAGTGGAGTGTGCCTTCCTTTTACCAAAGGAATTGAGTTCAACTAGAAAAAAAAATTAAAAGTCAACCCGCGAAGAAGTAAATCTGAGCCTCAAAAATAAGTTTTTCTTGAAAAAAAAAGCCAAAAACAAATTATCACGACCTATATAAGAGTCTGAACTACCTTCATTGAATTATAAACTGGCAGGGTTTCGAGTTCGAACTCTTGATCCTTCGCGACATACCCCCGCTTCTTACCACCACTCTATTGGACCCACATTTTCATGAAAATTACCTTCATTAATAAAGCAAGCTATCAAATGATTATGTTAAACTAGTTGTTAACTAGAAAACGTCTACTATGCAGTTTGATAATGCTTGCTTATTGCAGCCGTACAAAATCAAAATCGACAACAGGTGTCTTGGAAAAGTGAAAAACAAATAAGGAAAACCGAAAAACAAAATCTCTTTTTTGCACAATTTTTAGTTTTTATTGCCAAGGATGCGCTAAATGAAACTTCCAAAATTATTGTTTTCGTAAACAAACTAAGTTTTCTCGACAAACGTTCATTCTAGGCAGAACATGCCATGTCAATCAAAATAATTGAATATTAAATAAGCAACAAAACAACACTTACGAAGCGGAAACGAAGCCGACAATTTTTGAGCAGATATAAGTTGAGCCGAAAAAGCGATTTTTGAAAAATAAGTTTCAAGTCGCCCCTGCTAAAACTAAAACTAACAACACTTGCAGCAATAATGAAAATTGCTCACAGCACGAGAAAAATCCGCGATGTAGCATCTACGCCGACTAAATTTGAGCGGACAAACGAAAGTCCCACAGTTCAATTTTTAACGAAAATCCCACAATTCAATTTTTAAAATCATACATACTGAAAAAAATTAAGTCCGACCGGAACTCGAACCCCAGACCTTAGGGTGCAAAGGAAACCACAGCATCTCTCGGCCAAGTGCAAAAGATCCTGGAATTTGTTAAGTTGTAATAACAAAGAAAGTAAGATTTGTAAGAAAAGTTGTTTACGGGTAAAAATCTAGTTCCCGATTACAAGACACTTGCTTTCGCAAGTGTAATAACGAAAGTTACTGATCGCTTCACTCGCTCAAAACTAGACTAAAAATTTTGTTTAAAATGCCGTTCGAATCACGGTTAAACGAAGCCCGTTTAACTTAACCTACGAGTACCTACGTGATCCGAAAAAAAATCATTAAAAATAAAAGGTGGTAAATTTACAAACTACAGAACAACTTTCAGTTATAGTAAATGTTTGAATCAAAAATTGTTACACTTAAGGCTTAAACAGAAACTGCTGGGAAAGTGCACGAGATAATATAAATTGCATTTAAAAAACGGAAAATCAGCCGATAGAAATTAGGACGAAAACTACAAATCCGGAAAAACAGCATTTTGCCAATACAATTGAGAAAAATAATTGTTTCCTCAAAAAACTATGAGGCAGTTCTTTTTGAATTTTCAAAAAAAACAAGCGTGCCTGCAGAAATGAGCATGTCAGCAGAACTCATCATCTTAGCAGAATTTGTAAGGAACTTTGTTTACAAGAAAAAGTCTAGTTCTCGATTACAAGTAATTTGCTTTCGCAAGTGAAACAAGGAGTAAGGGAAAAAGTAGTGAACCTTGCCTGAATCCACTAAAACATCCAAAATAGAAGAAATAGTCTCACCCATGCGAACTAGCTGTTTTCAGTAGTTTAAATAACAGGCAATTATCCAGTAGCGTTTACCCCTGGGACTTGGATACGTAGCTCATTAAGAAGTTTGGAATAAGAGACAGTATTGTGACCTTTTGCAAAAATCATTTAATATGCTAATGATTGTGCCTTAGCGTTGCTGTTGTAGTCTTGTGGACTGTTGGCGATAATGGGTTCGTTAATTTTAGTGGGTTTGTAGTTTCGTCTAATCCGTAGAACAGTAATAACTTCCCCCAGCGGATTAGGTAGGGCATGCCACTAAAGTTCAATAATTGAACAAAGGTTCAGCTTTGAAGTTGTCTGAATCTAAAGTGCTCTGTTTTCGTGGGTTCAGCTTTTTACATAAGGCCATTTTTATAAATGAGTTGAGCTCTGCCGCTCCTACGAGCTAATTGAGCATTCCACTTTGAAGTATTGGCCCTATCAATCCTTATTTCTCATCTGAAGCTATCACTGATGAATTTGATAAAATCTGTAATTGGATCTATCTCTTTGTTGGTAATTATGATTTTTACACGTAAAATAAACGTTTTTCTCTCATTCAGCTGAAGGTGTTCAGCTAAATGAAGCGGTTCAATCCATTACAGAAAATAAAAATGATGCTTATCATGCGGCCCTAGATTGCTAACAGTGCATATAATTAAAAAATAAATGTCACGAGTAACTATTCAGGATGACCGAATATCCAAATCGAGCTGTGCGAAAATGCGAGATTTTTCTTCCAAGTTCACTCTAGGATTGTTTATTCTCAAAAGTTTACTGTACAGGAGATAACGATCCAGGAGATACAAGTACCACTTGTGATACAATTAAAACATTGCATGACGAGAATAAAAAAGGAAGCCAATTTTTGAAAAACTAAGTTGAAAAAATTACTTGGATAAAATCGAAAAAACTTTATCTACAAAAATTTCATCTCTTTATATCGGATGAGATTCATCAACAGCGTTAGCAGGGATTAAGAATCAATTACTGAGCGTCAACTTAAGCGAAAAAACATGGGTCGACCCTCGTTAGGTCGAAAATGAAACTGTCGTAGAAAAAAAAACCAAGTTAAAATGTTCTAAATCAACATTCTTACGATTCATCCCTTCTTATACAGCCATAAGCATTTGCAATTTCCGCCCTTGAAACTACGCATCATAGGTTGACTGAGCTGATATAACATTAGCAGGAACCGTTTATCCAAAAAAATGCAGAAACGTTTTTGAAAATCATAACTCTTCTGTTCTGTTATGAAACGGTTTGTAAATGCTACATTTGTTTGCCGAACCTTTTTCAAATTCGGCTATTAGTTCTTTACCACTTTTTTAAGTCGTCGGAACAAAAACACGAGCCGTTTTTGATTACCTCGAGGAAAGCTCCTGATGAGTAAAATGCGGTATCATATTAAAGCCCTATTGGTCTTGATTTTATTTTTTTCTTATTTTCGTTTGGAAAATTATTATGATCTAAACACTTTTAGCTAATTGAACAGCAACTAGCCATTCTTAATTGCTTATGAATTTCTTTGATTGCATGAGGGGAAATTTTTTTTTCTATAGAAAAATCTTTCACGATTGTTTTTTAAAAAAGGGTAAATTATAAAAATGGCCCTTCCGTTTAGGTACGATCGTGCACAAGCTGGATAAGGCCCATACCAGCATTATATAAATACATCAATACAATATTGCAGGAATTAAGTAAAGTCAGCATTTAATGCGTTGTCGTTAAAGGTATTTACTTCAATCGTCCCTCCTCTATAATAGCACTAATTGATTCACGCTTGTTTTAAGGTATTAACAATTCATTTATAAGACATCAAACTTATCTTATCTCCAGCACTTTGAATAAAAAATTTACACATAGGCGAAGATGCGCTTCGCAAACACTAGCGAGAAAACGGACAATAAGCAGCTCTATTAAGTAAATTAGAAAAAGTAGAAATAAGCATCGACTTAGTAAACCTCGCCGGATTCGAACCAAAAGTTGCTAATTGCCGGATTCGAACCATCGCCCTCGAGGTTTGGAGTCTCACGTCCTTCCCTCTCAGCCATGGGCGCTAAACTTCAGTAGCACTCTCACTAGTCACAAATAATGCAGAAAACAAATGCTATAGAATTTCCAATGTTACAGATCGTGGTTATAGCAAAAGTGCCACCAAATGAGCATTTATTTTTGCAAGGTAGTTGGGAAAAAAAGTAGAGTCAAACTAATTCACTGCTAGTGTACTGAACGGCGTAGTCCGAACTTTCGATATATTATATGCTTTTAACATCGAACGTTTATTTTCCATCGCCGCCTTAAAGTATTGTCTACTACGCGAGCATTGAATTTTATCTAGTACGCAAATTTTAGCATATCTTTTTCTTGAAACTCATTTGAGGCTTCAAAAAAACTAATACATGACTGGTTCAAATTAAAATTTTTTTGCCTACCTTAAGTTTTCATGGTCATAATCAAAAACTATTCATATTTTCTATAACTTAAAAAACTTACAATAAAGCGACAAAAATTTATTTTTCCAAACTAACATGAGCAAGTATTTGTAGAAGTGATGCGGAATAGACACCAGAATTCCAGCTCCGTCTCCTGTTTCGTTGTCACATCCCACTCCTCCTCGATGTTCCATTCTTTCCAGAATCGTCCTGGCCGAGTCCACAATATGGCGATGCGGCTCTCCATTGATATCCACAGCAAACCCAACACCACACGCGTCCTTCTCTTCTTTGGGACAATACATTCCAAAGTTCGGGTTTTCATCGTTCAGTTTTTCGGGATCATCCGAAGGAAACAGTTGACTGTGACACCACTTGCAAGCCATGGTTCAATTAGATAGATAAATTCTGAAGAACCAGCAATCTGAAAGAATAATATTATTCTCCGTTGAGAATTAAGCTGAATTACTTCGACCAATCACGCTCACGATTCGCTCTTTTCTAGAAATTCCAAACAGTTTGACCAATTGAACAGCATTAAGCCAACATATACTTATAATTCAAGTGCGCATTAAATGTCGCTGATTTACTGAAATTGCTTGGGATGTACAAATGAGAAAATCATTTGGCCTTTTGAGAAAATGAAACAAAAAAAGGTGGGCGGGTTCCCCACGAGGCCATGAATATTTTATAATTGCACAATTTCAAAAGTGGCGAAGGAAAACGAAACATATAATAATAATAATAATAATAATAATAAACAAGGATTTAGACATAAAGCCATGGGGCTAAAATGCCCCGCGTTGGGAGTTTTAAACTGAGTTTTATAGTTTCTTTGAGTTTACACAGCTATTGCATCAGTTTATTCTCCATGTGCATGGGACACTTTCCTCATATTTACTGATGAAATATATCCAGAAAACGTTTTTGAGGCTTGATTTGAGTCTTTCGTATTTCATCGCAAACAGGTCTTCTTCTTCCTGAGTCTGTAAAAATTTGCTTGCTAGTATAGGTGTTCTGTGCCAGAAATTGCTTTTCGATTTTTCGTAATGATAATTTTTATGCGCTAAGTTATTTTTCGTTGATCTTCTTGTTGGGGCTGTAGATTCTTTGAACTGAACAAATTGTCTCCAATGGAAGTTGTATTGGTCGTTTATTATTTTATGAAGCAAGAGAATGTCGTGCATTTCGTGGTAGAGAGACAGTGGAAGCAGGTTTAATCTAATCAGTCTGTCTTTATAGTTGATGTTGTTACATGACAGTATCCAACGTGTAGCTTTTCTTTGGACATCTTCAATAATTCTTAATTCACACTTATTTGCTTTCCATATGGGTGAGCCATATGACACAATTGGGGTTACATATCCACAGTAGGAGTTCAGTTTCATTTATTACCAAGTGTTCAATTAAAGAAATAAGTTTCGGCGAGAGCGCGATTGCCTCTTAGCGATTTAATATTGAATACAAAATGATAGATTCGAGATCAGCTGGTTCTAATTAATCACGCAAACCATACTGGGCGACATTGAACGCGCAGGACAAAAAAAACTTCGCTATCATCAAGAACTTCGTGAAGTCTTTCCTCAAATAAATAGGGATAGCCGGTTACTGTGCACCGCACAGAAGGTTCCGACCATAGTCTTCGAAAAACTACAAGACATTTTTTTTTTCAAATTAGTGTAGTTTTTTATGCGTAGTGTGATAAAAGGATCTGACGTAAAAATACAATTTAGGCATATTCGACAATCATAGTGAAATAGGCAACCAGGACAACAGTTTCTGATGGAAATGACTAGAAAAACAAACAAAATATATATAAAATTCAAAAAAATCTTATTGTTTTGCTGAAATTTGTTGAGTTTTGAGGTTCTTTGTTTTCAAAATGGCATTCAAAATCTCAGACTGGGTTTGAACTAACTTCTATCGAGTAAAATTAAAATTAATTATAAATAAGCCATTGTAAACGGCTTAAAAAAAGCATAAATAAGCCTGCTCGCTGGCTTTCGTAGCTCGAAATTAGACGAAAAAACAAAAATTTAAAATCGGTTTTCCTCGACATTAGGAAAAAATTTTGGAGCTTTTTAATGGGGTTCGAAACACGACTGAAAGAGCTTCAATATGATTATATCATTAACCCAGTCCGATGATTATTTCTGGTAACCGATTTTGCGTGGAACAAAAAGAAAGTAAAACACACCCGAATACGAAATTCCTCTGCTATTTCAAGGATCGGAACAAAAAGATTGAAAAAAAAACGCTAAATCTAACGAACAAACCCCTTTGGAGCAGATTTGATCACATTTCTGCAAACACTTTTCACTTGATATTTATTTAATTTTCAGTTTCTTTGTAACCTTGAAAAAAGATAAAGCCTAAAATTTGATCTGAACGAGAAAAATACTTTTTTCTTGATCAAAATTGGAATTTATTTGATGTTGGCTATACCCTTAAACTTTTGATTTTCTGATTACAATTTTTATTAAAAATTGTGACTTAAACGATATTTGAATTTCAGTCTATGCATTGAATCAGGTATAACGGGGCTAGGTCTTTTACCAGATAAACTTTATACCAGAAATCCCTTTTACCAGACACATTAGTTTAAGACTAGTTAAAGATTAGTTTAAATTAGTGGAACAATCGAAAAGAAAATAGTTAGAACAAACAAAACTTCGCTGAGAAACCGAGAAACCATTGTCTTTAATCAGACTGAACGGCGTCATTACATCTGTCAAACAATTTATTTATCAGATCAGATAACAGGTCGGTCACCAGTTTAAACATGGGCCATTTTCTTAATTATTGAACGAAATTTTTTTCGAAACTTTCATGTGAGTCGTCATAATCTGTTGCTATCAATCAGAGTAGGTCATTGGATTTTGCAAATTCCAAACACAACATCCTGATATTTGGTTTAGTTTAATTCTGACCGTTAATCATTGATGCCGGCTCTCTTGATCAGCTCATTGTGTCTTAAAACGGATCGAAACAAATGGATTAAATTCAATGGTTTGTGGTATATACAAAAAAACGGTTTAGCAATGGGCGCCTCCCTTGCAGTAATACTGGCCTATTTCTGGCTAGAAGAATACGAACCTGCATTAATGAAAGAAGTACCAAAATTTACTGTGCCGAATGAGGATATTAAGAAAGTCCGCCCTGGATGTCAGAAAAAGGTGACATATCGAAATAAAGGGGTAGAATGCAAAGCTTGTTTAAAATGGTACCACTAAAGATATGGTAACATATCGGAATCTGAATACGCAGACATCGCTGAAACAGTATGGTATTGCATGACTCGCAAAAAAACAACAAGAAGCAGATCGGACTGAGGATGGTGTTAAAGTTTTTCTAAGATATGTGGTCGACATAGCTAGAACTGTAAAGGGCGATCCTGGGGTAGTCCTCGAGGCTGCCAATTAGAAGAGCTTGACAGTAACAGTAATTTGGCCTTTTTGGATTCAAATGTCAACGTGGACTCAGGAAAAAAGGACACATGTGGGTGGTACCAAAAACCAACTGATACCGGCACCATTGTAAGAAAACGGAAATAAATGACTACAAATTAGTATCCGAAAAATTGATCGGACAGGGTAGTGTTTGAAACTTTTAACAAGATCATTGAGGGAAAAATATTTAGTCGACGGAATCAGAACCGAGACATGATAAATGGTTGAAAGGCTCACCCCCCTCATTTCACAATTAAAAATGAGGCAATCCATCTCAACTGTTAGCTGCAAAGGTTCGGCAAATATCCGGGGCACAAATAATTTCTACAGCATTTAAACATGGGCCATTTTCTTAATTATTGAACGAAATTTTTTTCGAAACTTTCATGTGAGTCGTCATAATCTGTTGCTATCAATCAGAGTAGGTCATTGGATTTTGCAAATTCCAAACACAACATCCTGATATTTGGTTTAGTTTAATTCTGACCGTTAATCATTGATGCCGGCTCTCTTGATCAGCTCATTGTGTCTTAAAACGGATCGAAACAAATGGATTAAATTCAATGGTTTGTGGTATATACAAAAAAACGGTTTAGCAATGGGCGCCTCCCTTGCAGTAATACTGGCCTATTTCTGGCTAGAAGAATACGAACCTGCATTAATGAAAGAAGTACCAAAATTTACTGTGCCGAATGAGGATATTAAGAAAGTCCGCCCTGGATGTCAGAAAAAGGTGACATATCGAAATAAAGGGGTAGAATGCAAAGCTTGTTTAAAATGGTACCACTAAAGATATGGTAACATATCGGAATCTGAATACGCAGACATCGCTGAAACAGTATGGTATTGCATGACTCGCAAAAAAACAACAAGAAGCAGATCGGACTGAGGATGGTGTTAAAGTTTTTCTAAGATATGTGGTCGACATAGCTAGAACTGTAAAGGGCGATCCTGGGGTAGTCCTCGAGGCTGCCAATTAGAAGAGCTTGACAGTAACAGTAATTTGGCCTTTTTGGATTCAAATGTCAACGTGGACTCAGGAAAAAAGGACACATGTGGGTGGTACCAAAAACCAACTGATACCGGCACCATTGTAAGAAAACGGAAATAAATGACTACAAATTAGTATCCGAAAAATTGATCGGACAGGGTAGTGTTTGAAACTTTTAACAAGATCATTGAGGGAAAAATATTTAGTCGACGGAATCAGAACCGAGACATGATAAATGGTTGAAAGGCTCACCCCCCTCATTTCACAATTAAAAATGAGGCAATCCATCTCAACTGTTAGCTGCAAAGTTTCGGCAAATATCCGGGGCACAAATAATTTCTACAGCAAGAAAGTTGGAAACATGCTTGCCATCTCTCAAAACGTCTTTTGCTTGTGAACCGAGATCCAAATAGGTGTATAAGCTTACATGTAGTGGATGTAACTCCACCGATGTCGGCCAGACAGTCCGACATCTAGCCACGAGGGTCGATGAACACCGCAAAGGGGACTTCCCAGTAGGACAATACTTGTTAGAATGTAATAAGGAGGTAGGCCGTACTTTTGAGCTGAAGTCACAGATCATAGACCAAACAGCCAACACTGAAAAGCTATTCACAGTAGAGGCTTTGCATATTTGGAGAGAGAGGCCGAGACTTAACGCACGCGACGAATTCAGTAGCCGGAAATTAATACTAAAGTTTTGGTCAATGTAAAACCTGGCTTAAGTTCAAAAAACTGACATGTAAGAATCGAAAATATTCCGTACTAATAATTATGTAATTTATTATGTAATTACAGTTGTTTAGTTTTGATAGGCCAAAAAATTCTAGAGCATTAGAGCATTTTAAGTTTCTATTTTTTCAGATCTTTGATTGTTTTGTAAATATTGGAAAAAGAGTTTTAACCCTGATGATGCACAAAATGTGCGAAAACGTTTGAATTAACATTTAAAAGTCTTATAATCATTGTATATTCTTTTCTTTTAGCTTGTGTTATATATT